TTTGGGCAAGACCGCAGTCTCCGGAATGGTCGCTTTTCTGCGGACTTCATCGAACTTCTAGAACATGCGGTGGACTCTTCCGACGATACAGTTCTTACACCGAAACTCATCCAAGAGCAATGTCTCAATATTTTCACGACGTTTGTATTCAACGACGGGCCAACGTACACCAGCCTTACGAAAGGCTTCTATAATAGATTGCTGAGTGGAAAATATATCGCAGAGTCTTGGTGGCTACAGCACGGCAACCCGATCCTAATAGCGATGGTGTCTTACGTCAACAACTTGCGCAACCGAAAGTGGGAGCGCGACCCAGCCCGAGAGCCTTCGGTCCTTCCTGATACCTTTTCCTGGCGTCTTGTCCTGCTCGATTATCCATGGCCTTCCCGCGATGAAGGAGAAGAGACTCGGGAGCAGAAATGCACGCTCTTCGCCGGTCAGCTGGAGGCGATCATCGATGAGTTGAGTAGCCAGCCAGTCTACCATCAAGCCCTTCGAGACCTGAATGCCTACCTTGCCACTGACATCGTGTCTTCCAAGGGCAGCGGAAGGGGAGAAAAGCGATTCGGCACATCTCTATACATTTACGATAAACACGATCTGCTGCACGACCGTCTCCAGAACAATCGCATATTGACAGCGATCTACGTAGGCGACATTCGTAAGACGAGGTTGAGCTGGTTGACAGCACCGGACTTGTTGAAGGTCGAAGTTGCCTGGGCACTAGTTCAACTCGTGGGAGACGAGTTGAAGGAGGACCGAGCTATCGTGAATAAAGAGACCAGGCATAAGTTGGAATCAATGGTGGATACGTGGAAAGCATGTGAGAATGAGGGTGTCCGAAGAAGAGGATGGGAGATCGAGGAAAGCTATCTGTCCTAGCCTTACCTAGAAAACAGGCCGTAGCAATAGTGCTTGCTTTAGTTAGCAGGCAGAGTTTACGTCAGCTCGGATCCTTCGACGCGGTCCAAGGCTGGTGGCCTGATCAATGCGACTTCACAAATTGGCGAGCCCCGCTGGAACTTCTTCCTGTAGCCCGCGAAGTGTGACAATGGCTATTCCTGAAACTATTAACGCCAACATGCGGGAGACGATGGAGAGCATGGCGCCACTTTGGTACTCTTGGCCACAGCTCGCCGACCGAAAGCCCATGCCGCCACTCTACCAACCACTGATCTTTGTCCTTACCATCGTCCCGTTCTTCTTTTCCAGCCGACGTCGGATCGCCATCTGCATATTCCCACAGATTCTAGACCTATGCCTTAGGTCACCATGCTATACCTTCGGTAACCCCTCTGCCGACTATTACAACAGCTCGTTCTTCATTGCTGTGCCTCTCTGGTTCCTCGAATTCGCCATTTTGGCTCCACAGAAAGGGCCCGATGCCCCTGCATACACTGGGAACCCGAAGCGCAGCAGCACTAAGAGGGTGATAACCTTGGACGACATGGACCTGTCAAGGCAGAAAGTTTTTCGGGTGTGTCCACTAATGGTTCCGTCGCATCGTGGTATTGGTTGGAACTGGCAGGTCAAAGGCGTTCCTGACGATCCGTACGAAGGTCTTTCAAGACGGACCTTTGTGGCCAGCCATGTCCGAAAGATGTTGATCGCGTACTTGCGGTCTATGGCCATGCTCGTGCTGCTTGGATGGGGTTCAGCTGCGGAGGTACGGCTGTCATCGGAAGCCCGCCCCTATCACCTCATGGTCGATGCACTCATTGGTTGGTCCGGTGCGATATGGGTCTGGGACAGATTGAACTTCGCTTACAGCTTCATGGCGGCTGTATCCGTTGGAAGCGGGGTATGCGAAACGTGGCAATGGCCCCCGCTAATGGGAAAGTTGAGGGATGCGTGGTCTGTGAGGCAGGTCTGGAGTGTGGTCTACCACCAAACAATGAGAAAGGTAACGTCAGGATCAACTCCTCATTACACTTTTACATCGTTTCCAAGTTTTCCACCACAGTGCGGTATGCAAGCATCGCTAACGCAAATGTCTATTGCAGATGGTCTCGCAACCCGCAGCTCGCATTGTGCGCCTCCTGGGTCTCCGCAAAGGCAGTCTCGCATCGGGTTTAATTCAACTCTATGTGTCTTTCGCGATCAGCTGCTTAGTGCACGAGTTCCAAATGTTTATGGTAACGCGTAGAGACATGGGAGAACTCGTATTCTTCATGTCGCAGCCGGTAGCTATCACCATCGAGGGTGTTGTGCAATGGATGGCTGTTCAGGCACGGTACCGAGGGGCCGGCCATGACAATATTGGACCTGCATTAGCAAGGTATGCGGGCTATATATGGGTGGTTTCGTGGTTTTCCTTTAGTCTACCAACCTACGTGAAAGGTTGCAGAGACGCAGGGATCGTTCATGATGCGATGTTCGGCGAAAGACCCTTCGAGACTGGAGTACGTTTGGCAAATTGGATTCTTCGGTAATAGAGATATCTTTCTTCGATCAAGATGGCACATACAGTACGTAAAACGGTAGCCCAACCAAACCGAAATCCGTATCGAAAGTAGAAGTCATGACAGAGGATGTAACTGTGAGCCTTTCGAGACAAGATGGAGCCGGACTGGGTGAACGGGCATGATGATGACGACGGCGCCCCTGCGCTAAACGCCTAGTGGGGGTCCGTGCTGTCAAACGCGTCTTCCAGGCTTGGAAGGGTTTCGTGCCATGAACGACACACCGCACCTCAGGAACACAGGTGTACCTAGACGCACAACACTCCCAATCGCGAAAACATTCGTGCATCTTTTCAGCCTGCTCGGGAAGATGTTTAGCGTTCCCTCCGTGCGACCCAGGTGGAAGCGATGGCATGCTCCAATGCCTCACCAACCGGCCCCTCATTTACATACCGAATATCGATCGTGAGGAGAACCCTCCTGTCGGAGTAACCCCATAGCCTTCGATTTTGGTTGGTGGTTCAGGGTCTTTTAACCCTTCTAAGCTCCATGAACTCATCATATTGAGTAGCCGCGTAGCTGCAAGGTAGGGATTCATAAAAGAGCTTCCCTCTGCTCTCTGTAGTCAGGAATCATTCGTTCTGCACGCTCGCTTTTCTCCTACATTTGCTCGATCCCCAGTAGCCAGCCGACATGTCAGGCTGCTCGCTCGTTGCCGCGGGTCTGCCGTCCCTCATTGGGTCGGCCACCCCAACCTTCAGTTATGATCGAGCTAGGCATAGCTTTGGATCTGGCGACAACTTCGGTATCCAGGTGACTTATATGTCTGGTACTTCTACCTGTTATCAAGGAACCAGGCCTACATTCACGCCCATCATTTCCAACCCGTTGCTTTTGTACACCCGCACCTGCACTTACCAGACCCAAGGCGTACCGGCAACCTATACAGGCATTTTCTGTCAGGATGCTGACCTTTACGACTGGGTCAACATGGGTCGTTATACGATCGATAACTATGCGTTCCTTAACCCGTTCGCTGCCACTCCCCGTGCCTTCACTGCTGCGTTCGGCGACCAGCCTTCCCCAAGCACTGTCGCTACAAGCGTTGTTCAGACGACTTCGACTGCTACCAACACTGCGTTTGCTCCTGTTAGGCCTGCGGCGACTACTACAGTCTCTTCCGCCTCTGCCACTAGCACACAGACAAACATCGCTACTTCCACATTCCCGGTCACCAGTGCTGTTACACAGACCTTCACTGTCTGCCCGACATCCATTCGACCGAGTTCCTCTAGCTCTTCTCCAGCACCCATTGTGCCATCGTCTTCCCGATCATCCTCCATTCCGGCTGTACCATCATCGTCGGCACAAGTGTCTACTACCACCACGGTCGTCATGTCGACAGTCACGCCAACGCCGAGCTCAATCTCTTCACCTTTCTCTGTCCCGTCATCAAGCTCATCTGCTTCGCCTCCTCCTATCCCCTCGCCGAGCTCGTCCTCAATCGCGTCTTCCATTCCCTTGCCAAGCTCATCCGCCGTACCAGTCCCGAGCTCATCTTCTACACCTTCCGCGATCCCTTCGCCAAGCTCAGCCTCTGTTGTCACCACCACAGTGGTAAGCGTCACTACGGCTACTCCATCGAGCTCCGCTTCCATCGTGTCGCCCTCGTCCGCTTCTTCCAGCTCATCCGCTTCACCGTCTCCTATCCCATCGCCCTCTTCAGCCTCCGTCGCTACTACCACCGTCCTAAGTGTGACTACGGTTACTCCGACACCGAGCTCCATTCCGGCCGCATCATCCTCGGCCGCTTCTTCTAGCTCATCTGCGCGCCTATCATCCAGCTCTGCTTCCTCGAGCCCTGCATCGGGCCCCGCTTCTTCAAGCGCTGCGTCGAGCTCAGCAGCCTCCACCCCTGCTTCGAGCTCCGCTTCTTCAAGCCCTGTATCTACCCCAGCCGCTTCAACTCCTGTCTCGAGCTCAGCCTCTTCAAGCCCTATCTCGAGCGCAGCTTCTTCAAGCCGTGTTTCCAGTTCTGTTTCTTCAAGCCCGGCTTCAAGCTCAGCCTCTTCCAGCCCTGCTTCGTCAAGCCCTGCTTCCAGCTCTGTTGCCATCACTTCAAGCTCTGTCACCCCCACTTCAGTCAGCGCGTCGCCATCTGCGTCTGCCTTGTCCTGCCCCGCGAGCGATGGTGCCACGTTCACCACCCCTCAAGGAGACTTCGTCGTCGAGTGCTTCATCGACCGCACTAACTCCGATATCGGTGTTGCGCCTGGTAACCCTGCGAACTATGAGCAGTGTATCCAAGCTTGCGGAGCTACTTCTGGCTGCCAGGCCGTTTCATACCTGCCAAACGGCCCTTGCTACTTGAAGAGCGGTGTCGGTGCGCCTAGGTCCAACGGTGGTGTCTGGGGTGCTAGGATTGCATCAGTTCCTGTGTCTTCATCTTCTTCGATGATCGCTTCTTCTGCAGGCGCTTCCTCTCAATCAGTCGCCACGACCACAGTTGTCAGCACCACAGTCGTCACCGCAAGTTCATCTTCCAGCCCTGCTGCCAGTTCAGGCGCTAGTGTTTCTTGCCCTGGCTCCAACAACTCCATGGTCACTGTCAACGGCATGCAATATCTAGTCGAGTGCGGTGCCGACTACCAGGGTGGCGATATTCCGGGCCCAATGAGCCCGACCTACCCCAGCTCCTACGAGGGCTGCTTGGCAGACTGTTCTACCACTTCAGGCTGTGTCGCTGCCAGCTACATTATTAACGGTCCTTGCTACCTGAAGAGCGCAGCCAACGCTGCTGGTTCGAACAGCAACATTATTGGTGGAAGACTGGTCCGCAGCATCTCAACTAAGTCGGCAACTAGTGCTTCTTCGGCGGCACCTGCCTCTTCCTCTGCGGCCGCATCCTCGATGACACCTGCCTCTTCGTCTGCTGTCGCTTCTTCGTCTGCGGCCGCATCCTCGGCGGCACCTGCCTCCTCGCCCATGGCTGCTTCCTCATCCGCGGCAGCCTCCTCGCCTGTGTCTACCTCATCCCGTGTTTCCTCTTCTGTCTCCTCTTCTTCTTCGGCAGTAGCAGCAAGCTCAGCTCCAGTCACTTCAGCTGCGCCCGCTCCCGGACCCTCTACCGTTACTGTCACTACGACGATCTCCAACACAGCATACCAGTGCGCATGCACACCTGCTAGCGTCTTCGCTGCACCATCAAGCACCCTTGCTGCATCATCGAGTGCTCCTGCTGCATCATCGAGCGCTCCTGCTGCGAGCCCAACAGGCGCTACTAGCTGCCCTGGTTCCAATGGCTCAATGGTCACAACGTCATGTGGCGCAGTATATGCTGTCGAGTGCAGCTCTGACCGCTTCGGCAATGACCGTAATTTCCCCTGTTCATCGTTACAACGCACACAAGTTAATATTGTATCTAGTTGAAAACGGTCTCGTGTACACCGACACTTACGAGCAATGTCTCCAAGCCTGTGACAACACTACTGGCTGTGTCAATGTTTCCTGGGTCATTGGCAAGCCTGGTGCTTGCTACATGAAGGGAAGCATCGGTGACGTCCGCGTTAACTCGAACATCATTGGAGGACGCAAGCTCTCCGGCTGCTCCACCTTCAAGCTTCACCGCAAGCGCGTCGCGTTTGCCGCTCCCAAGGTGAAGCTGAACAAGCGTGCCGCGGTTGACGACTCCAAGGCGAAGTTGGAGAAGCGTGCTGGCTTCTTCGGTCCTGACTTCACATTCACTCAGGCTCAAGTCACTGCGACTTCGACGGCCACAGCCAGGACTACCGTTACCACGTAAGTACTGTATTCCTTGCTTCCGTCATGCACTCGCTTATCAATTATAGTACCTCGACACCCGTCTCCGGTACCGCTACAGCGACGGTTTTCACTCTTGCCTCTGCTACGATCACCTCCACCACCAGCGTGCCTACCACTGTCTTCAACACCGTCAGCGTTACCACCTGCCCGACTGCTTCCCCCACACTCTGAGCATCGGGATCTCGCTCCTGATACATGCAGACACCGTCGAATGGATCTCACTGGTCAACGCTAGCCAAGCCAATCGTAGGGCTTGTCGTCACACGATAATATCAACTATCGTCGCTCTTTAACACACGTATCGGCACTGTTCGGTGTTTGCATAGGGTGTGTCTCAATAATAGAAACAGTAGACAGTTCAATAAAAGTTCTTGTTTCCTTGAACAAACATGCGCTTCGCTGCTATGACACGTAAACTACATGGTCTATAATTCGTCTGATAAACATTACCTCAAAACCTTGCGCTCGTCATAACTTCCTCCAGACACCCGACAAAGAGAATCGAAACAAAGCTTGTACACATCGAAAGTCGACGAGCGATTACCAACCACTCGCCGAGACAGCGTTCCCATAACGCCCGCTCAATTAATCATGTCAAAATCCTCGGACTTGTCACCACCCCACCCGCCGTCCCGAACACCGGCTCCAGCCTCACACCACCAAAACTCCATCCATCCACAAACACACCATCTTCATACTTCTTACTAACAATAAACCCCAACGCCCCGTCCAATCCCACACTAACCTCGATATCCCCCTCAATCTCCGCCCACCCCTTCCCCTTGAGCTCCTCATACCGTCTCGACCCGACCCTAACCCTCACCGCATCCGGATGCAACAGCACACTCCCCACATCCGGCGTAATCTTGACATCTACATAGCGCTGCGAGAAGGTCGACGGATCAAACGGTTTCCCGACACTGAAGACAAGATCTCGAGGTGGCGTATGCGTGCTATTGTGGAAGGAGACGAGGAATTGGACTTTGTATTTGCCCTGCGGTATGCCTGTTTTTATCGTGCGGAGACATATGTTGTCGGCTTTGATGCATTGGTATACGGCGGCTTCTTCGCGGCGGCCATCGTGGTCCAGGTCTTCGGCTACGGGGAAGATGCGTTTGAGGCGGCCGGTTGCGTTGTCAAGGGCAAGTCCGCTTTCGCCACTGGGCGAGAGGTCGCGGTATTGAGACATGTGTGGTATATCGTCAAGGTGCGGGGAAACGCCTAACGGCATACCCGTTTTAAAATCAACCTGCGCGAGTTGGAAGGACGAATCAAGGAGGCCGCGTCCGGTCATGCCTAGACGGAAGTGGGAAGCGCTTATTTCGAATTTTGGAGGTAATGCGGAAAGTTTGGCCATGCGTTGGCCGAAGTCTTTGGCGGACCGTATTTGCTCACCGTCATTCATGTAGAGTTCGGTTAGGGAGGCCATTTCGTCTTCTTTCATCCATTGTTCGAGGCTGACGTCTGCGAGGCCGCGGTCGACGTCGAAGCGGAAGTATTTGGTGTCGGAGTTGTTGTACATGCGCTTCATTTCGTTGTCGACGCGTGCGGTGCTTGTTGCCATGCCCGTGAGCGCGCTGGCTATGGAGATGTCTGTTCCAAGGCCGAAGGGCAGCCACGATGCCATTTTCTTTACGCTGGGGATGCTTTGTAGGCCGGTGCCGACGGAGACTATGACGCCGATGGAGCGGCCTTCCCAGAGTGCTTTTGCCGCGTAGTCGACTTCTGCGCATGGGTTGTTGAAGCCTACGCCGCCGTCTAGATAGGTAACTTTAGGCGTGCCGAATTGCATCTCTTCGAAGAAGGTTGGTGCTGCAGATGTAGCTCTTAGCGCTTCCCAGATTCTCGTCGTCCGGTCATTGGGATCGTAGGTAGACAGTATTCGGGGAAGGCCCAACGCGTTCTTGAGGGAAGTAAGTACAAAGCCGCGGCACCCCTTTGCGTTTGCCTTTTTGTGAACTGATTGCCGGTGATGCAGCTTCCAAGTAGCGCTTCGCATTGGCTTTCGCGGGCCGAAAGGACTGTCGCCAAAGAGTGTAGACAGATTCTTCGTGCTATCGACACTTTCAGGAGGGCCTGATTCCAACGAGCATAGCGAGTTCTTGAGTGTGCCGACCGGACTCTCTGTGATTACCGGCGCTGGCGGCGCATCTGCCCAAATGCTGTCTCTGGGTAGATCAGCCGCTTCATCCACTTCTTCAAAAAGCGCCTCATCCCACATCAGTTCATCTGGATCGAAGCCGAGGTCTTTCAATGCAGACTTGATGGCATTTGCGAGAACGGCACCGGAAAACCGACTTGCTCCTGTGGGGATCTTCATGCCAAAAGCCTTTATCGATCGATCGTGCTTGAATATTTGCTCTGCTAATTTACTGTATACAGCGATGCAGGTTTTGCAATCGAGTCGCAATCGTGACAGCATGATGGCTATTATGCCACCCGTTGATGTGCCTCCAATAAGGTCGAAGTAGTCGCACGGTTTTAGCGGTTCGTGGTCGTTCATGGCTTTCCTTCCTAACCTCTTCTCTTCCAAGGCTATGTTCTCCATCAGGTTTTGAAGTACCAACAGAGACGACAGGCCCCGTACACCCCCTCCATCTAGCGAGAGCAAGCGCAGCGGCGCGTTGTCATTTCTCTCTGTGTTCGAGGATTCCATGGTTGTTGGCGCCGAGAAAGGCAACAGATGTCGGTGTCGTCAGTATCAGTTTCTGGCGATCCGGGATTCTCGTGAACGGTGATGGTATACGGTGTTTCAAATACAGTCGCGAGACGTTTGCTTGTGAGTGTAGGATACTGCACTGAAGTTGTCGAGTCAAACACTAAACCCGCCTCCGACTCATACGCATGACTGGCACAAGGCGGCCTCTTCCAAATCGATACGTGTTACAGTGGCAACGACGAGGCGTGAGTCAGATGTTGAGTCGTCTGCAGAAAGGTCCCAAGGCTGCCTACAAGGCTGCGCTTTGAGGTATGAAACAAATGACGTGCCACCAGGGCAGAAACGCGATCTCAGAATGCTACTAGAAAATCATCGAAAACCACGGGAAGTGGGAACAAGCTTCCTATAAGTCCTGTGCCACACACCCCACATAACTACAGTTTGATGTGCTGTTCAGCGTCAATGCGAACATGGAGAACGCTCGAAGCATACGGGTATCCATTTGGGGGCCATCTTACGCGCCTGCTTAGCCTATGGTGGCTAGGTCAGGCCCACCTTTACACGAAACAGGGCTACGCGCTGCGCCACGACGGATATGCGGCGCAGGCGGTCTGGATATAGCACAGACAGTGTACATTTACCTTGGGAGTTCATGTGTTGCGAGTTGCATCTCCAAAAGGAGTAAAGTTGGTGAACAAATATCAGGTGGCGGGTGCAGCGGGGAGAAAAGGCAGCTAAGGCCTGGTGAGGCTGTCTGCTGCGCTTGTCAGATGTGTCAACCAATCACTAGCGCCGCACGAGGGGGCTGCGTGCTATCAAGGTCAGCTGCCATGCGCGGGTGATGTAAGCTCTGCATGCGTGCAGCTGAGGCTCCGCAGCACGACAGGGTGCGCCGCTCGCTCGCTCAGAGACGTCGACGAAGATTATGTTGGAATCAAACCAGGGCTGTAGTGCCCTGTGCTCTATTAGATTACAGTGTATACCCATATGTTAAAACGCTTGTGACCGTGAATGCAGACCGTAAATGCAAATCGGTTTCTAAATGCGCCCATATATCCAAACCCGGGGTATTATAATCAGATGCCGTGTGACGCCATGCATGCCCTCGTCTTGAAGTCGTTAAGTCATAAATCGTGATCGTTAAAGTCGCTCTGCAGCGCGGAGTCCGCTAGTCATATTCTACGCCAGGTTAGTGAGTGCTGCGTGGAAGGTGCGTTGGCAGAACTTACAAGTAGTTTTGCGCGGTATGCTTCCCAATGTTGGTCGTAAATTTGTTGCAGCATCATGTCCGACTCCTTCGCTCTTAGTGTGCGAAGAGTCTCCATTTTGGGACTGTCCTTCCTCCTCAACTTTTGCCTGGGGACGTAGATCGGGGAAGGCGAGGGCTTGATGGTCCAATGAGACGGCGGGAAATAACTTAGCGACTGCGAGCGAGTGTGTGTTGTTGGCACCATTGGAGAGCCAGGTGGTGACGTGGCAGGTGTTGATGGGCTCGACGCAGAGAGACTGGCCGCTTCGGAGAAAACAGATGGCGATGGCGATGAAGTCGCAGAGCTGTTGGAGATGACGGGTGACAGTACTATCGGCGATGGGGGTTCCACAGGAGCGAATCGGGTGGGACCGGGTCGTCGCGCACTTCCCTTGCCAGAAAGTGGTGATGGTCTTTTGATGTCGACAACACGGGGGGTCCTCTGCGGAGTCGCGAATTGCGACTTGGTGGTTTTCGCTTTTGGGTTCGGCGTGGTGTTGGGTTCCTTACGTGGCAGCGCTGGTGACGTGGGCTCCTTGGTGGTGGTGTGGGCCGATTGCGACGATCGCACTCCCTCTCCGCGCGACAACGGCGATGGCTTTCTTTCGGCGGCAACAGCGCGTCGCACCTTGGATGGCAGCGTGTTCCTCCTGCCGAACAAAGGTGTCGGGCTTTTGACGATGTCGTCGGCGTTGAACTGGAAAGGCTCGGATGGGCGAGATGGTAGCGATGGTCGGACGGATTGTGACGGCAGCGAGTTGCTCCTGGCGAAGAGGGGCTTAGGGACCAACTCGGTTTGTCCTCCAAAGTGGAACATGGGCGGTCCTTTCATCTCCATCTCTGGGTTCTCCGGTTCCTTTGGTGGCGTCGTGGGCGGCGATGTTTTGCATTTGTACTGATAGAAGACGCGATGCGGATTGCGTCGCGGAACGGGGGGTGTTTTGCATAGGGTCAACGTCTCGTCCAACAACACGTCGAGATCCTCCTCCATCTTCCTTTTCATAGTAAACGCGATCCGGTGGTAGTCGATGTTGCAGCCCCGGCAGTGCGAAGCGAAATGGATAAGTAGGTG